CACCCCCCCCCCCCCCCAAAAAAAAAACCACGACGGCTTTGTATGAAAAAAATTTGCTGCTATTATTAAGCTTGAAATGAATGTTTATGAAGGCCTCTCTTTGATTGCATCTCTGCTTCTGAGGGACGTTCATTTTTAATTTTCGTGTTACTTGATTTGGCTGACGTGTGCGTTGACATTTACATTTACACATTTAATGTGCATTAGATTTTCGTCGTAAACGGATTTTGATGTGTCTTCGTTCTCGAATGACTTCTTAGATGATTGTAAATGTGTTGCAACCCTATCGATACTTTTTAAAATATTCAGGAGGTGGGTTTCTCCCGACTTGTCTGTGTGGGCTTTTTTAAGGGGTGAGTTGGTGTATAGTGTCCCGTTTGATGGACCGAGAGTGTGCTCTCACACTCATACTTCTCTCTCCTTGCCCCCTCCCCCCTCCCCTTTTTTTCTACGCATACAATGTATACACGTTCTGTCTCTCCCACGTAGACCACACTCTCTCAAAATTATACACACACGTCTCCCCAGCCCCCTCTGGAATTCTCTCTGTCTTTCTCTCTTTCCGTCCCCCAATCTCTCTTTCTCTCTCTTTCTCTCTCTTTCTCTCTCTTTTTTCCACTGTCCTCTCTTTCTGCCCCCTTCTCTGTCTGTCTGTCTGTCTGTCTGTCTGTCTGTCTGTCTGTCTGTCTGTCTGTCTGTCTGTCTGTCTGTCTGTCTGTCTGTCTATCTATCTGTTTCGCTGTCATTTACATACTCGCCTTCGCGCACTCACTTCCAAATTCCAAAGCCTGATGAACTGCTCCGACTAAACCTTACTTAGAGTACTGTTGTCCCTAACACATCGGGACAACAATGTGCCACGAATCGAAAAAAAAATTGAAGACAGTTCGATACTCAAAAACAAAAACAAACCCAACTAAACAAGAACTCAGAGAATAAGATTTCTTTCGCTTGGCGCAATCCAATTTCATTACTACCTCTGGGATTTCTAAAGGTAGGTTCTATTCCGACGGGTAATCTGATTTAGCCCTGAGTGAATTGGCGTCATGGACGATGTGTTTTGTCCACGTCAGAATCAGAGATGTCTAATTTGGTTTTGTCCATCGATTACAAGGCAGTTCTTTAAACTGTGCTCACCTAGCGACGAAGCTGTTTATGTGGGAGGCGGTTGACAGGTGTCAATGATCGGGTTAATTAAGCTAAACAAAAATAGGGTGAAGGTTTGTGCGAACTTGAGAAAAACGTTTTAAAATGAAAAAAGAAATGGACATCGATTTCAGATTTTTTCCTGAAGTTGAATTGTGTTTTTGAGGGGAAGACAAATACCTTCCTTTGTTCTCTTCTTTATGTCATCCTTGTTTCCTCCCCTAACGCCCTCTCCTCATCATCATCATCATCATCATCATCATCATCATCATCATCATCATCAGCATCATGTGTGTGTATGTGTCTGTCTTATGTCCCTTTAGTCTCTCTCTCTCTCTCTCTCTTTCTCTCTCTCTCTCTCTCTCTCTCTCTCTCTCTCTCTCTCTCTCTCTCTCTCTCTCTCTGTATGTGTGTGTGTGTGTGTGTTTGTGTGTGTTTTTCTCTCCTGCTCTCTCTTTCTCTCTCTCTCTCTCTCTCTCTCTCTCTCTCTCTCTCTCTCTCTCTCTCTTCCTCTCGATTGCGGTGTCCCTCTCCACTCTCTCTCTCTGTCTCTGTCTCTCTGTCTGTGTGTCTGTCTGTGTGTCTGTCTGTGTGTCTGTGAGTAAAAATGTCTGTGTGAGTGTGTGTGTGGATATTCTCTCTCTCTCTCTCTCTCTCTCGCTCTCTCTCTCTCTCTCTCTCAATATCACGGCACCGCACCCGCCCTGAGAACACCCACACACACACACACACACTCTCTCTGAAGAGATACACAGAGACGTAGATACGGGCACACGGAGAGGGGGACAGATTTTCTGTTCGAAAGATCGATTCTCATGACAAAGTGACATAATATGAACAGAAAAAAGAGAGAAGAGTGTTTCCAGAGGGAGGGCGAGAGGGTTTGTATGCTACGAATCGAAGGAGAGCTTGATTAAGATATCTTGGTGTATGACTCACCGAAGAGTGAGAGGGCAAGATAAGAGATTAAAAAAGTGTGGGAGATTGTTTTTATGTTGTAGTC